GGGGGGGGGTGAGATTAGTGCACGTTTGTTAAAAATCTACTGTGTGAGAAGGACTTTTTTTTTCCCCCCTCCTCTCCAAAATAAGAGATGATTATTTTTAAGTCTGCAGTGTGTGTGTCTGGAGTTCGCAGCCGGGTGGGTCAGGGCCAGCCCTGGTCCCTCACCCCTCTGGGCCCGGAGGCTGTCCCCAGGGAGCCACGGGCACCCCCAGACACCCGCCATCTCCACGCCGTCCCCATCTTCACCCTGAGTGCGGATTAAGACAGAGGAGATCACAGACACAAGGTTCAAGACGCCTCTTCCGTTTCAGATTTCCACTGCAAACGGAAGTCCTTGTCGATCTGCGTGTGCCTTCAGTTACAAAAGGGAATTAGCCAATACAAACTGGTGAGTCACATTCATACATTGGATTTTTTTTTTTTTTCCTTTAACTTTCTCGACGGTGGTGTATTGGTAAGAAAAATAGCCTCTCTCAGGATCTAGCCCAAAAGGCTACACATCAATCAGTTTGGGAAGTCACCAAAAAAAGGGAGTGAAAGAAAGGAAAAGGCAACTGGAGGCTGGGATGTTGTCGTTGTTGCTGTTGTAGGTTTTGTTTTTTTTAAATAAACATCATCTTTTATGTGTAATCAAATTCCCATATTTTTCCCTATAAAGAATCTGCTTTAGTTTTTCCATAAGGCATTTTTTTTTTTGTCTCTTCCTATTTAAATTTTCTTAGAGTTAAAACCATAAATAAGAGGATGTAAACCACTAACATGACACGTGCCAATATCTTAATTGAGCCAGACCTGGTAAATTCTATCAAAACTAGACAGTTAAATAAGAACCACGTTATAAAAATATTAGCCAAAAAAAGACTATTAGATAATTCTGCAAACTCAAATATGAAACTGTACTAAACAAAATATGTGCAAACGTATACAAGCATAGAGCCACGTGGCGGGGTTATGCTCAGATTAGTTTAAAGCTTGCTCTAGTGGATTTAATTCGAGTTGTTCCACGGTGGTGGTGGTTACTTTGAACTCACACACGAGTCAAAGAAAAATAAAATATGCACAACCACGTCCCCAAAAGGTGAGCGTCTCATGGAGCTGGTGCTTCATTCCGTCCACACCTGGGACTGCCTGGGTCCTGCTAGGGCTGGAGGTCGGGGGCAAAGACACGGTGGCTGTCCCAAGGCCCGGGCCAGGCAGCGTCCCAGAGGCCCTCGGGCTGAGGTTCAGGGCAAGGGCGACACGGACAACTCCCGCCCCCTCGTCCAAGGCCCCAGAGAGCTGGCCAATCTCCACAGGAGCCGGGACCTCACGCTCGGGGTGGGGGGTCGGGGGGACGCGGGGAGGCGACCGGGCAGGGTCGGGCTACAGGCCAGGGATGGGCGAGCGGCGGCCTCAGAAGGCGCGGAGACCCGCGTGCCGGGTCTGACGTCTAGCAGGCCGGCCGCCGCTCGAGTCTGAGGATCGGGGCCGTAGAGGCAACCCTTTTATCAGGAAGCCGGAAGTGGAAAGCCCTAACACCCACCACCCCCTTCTGCAATCGAGTCCCTGCTGGGCGTCCTCAGGCACAGGTGCTCTGGGCATTCGCTCTGTGGTGGGTCCCAGGCCCGGGCACTAGAGGAGGAAAGGGTTGGTTGTGCCGGCGGCCTGAGCTGCCGACGGGGGGATGCCCACACTGCCCCCCATGTTCATCGTGGCGGGGCCCAGTGGCGTCAGGGAGGAACCGCTGCCCCCCAGAGCTGGGTGCGGGGCTGTGGAGGTCATGGAGGCCACAGCCATGGGCTCCACCCCCGGGCTCGGCCCAAAGGACGTGCTGGTCCCCAGGACTGGGCTCCCCCGCAGCTGGTTCAGCGTCAGCGGCTGGGGCTGGTTCACCTGGAAGGGGTTGACAGGGGCCGAGGCTGCGGCTGCACCTGAGGAGAGAGCAGGAGGGACAGCGGCCCTCGTCAGGACAACATCCATCCCCAGGTCCAAGGGCCGGAAGCTGGCGGCCACCGGGAGCACGTGCACTCCGCAGTCCACCCCTCTGGGAACAGCCCTTCCCGGCGCCCGCTGTTTTGCACACGCTATTCTGCACGCGCACACGCATCTGCCGGCTGGGTCTCCGGTGTCCGCGTGAGGAGACCGAGGCTGTGAGAGGCCAAGGGACTCATCCAGAGTCCCAAAGCCTGACTAGGGCAGTGCCAGCAACGTGCCCAGCTCGTGGGGCTCCCTCACCACGAACAGCTGGCACTGCTCCCGTATTCCGCGTGCCACACTCCGTGACCACCGGGGTCCGGGAATGAGGAGGGCAGAGGGGGAGCTGGGAACTGCTGCTGGAGAGTGGCAGTCTCCATGCTGGGCCCTGGGACCCAAGGGCTGGCATGATAAAGGCTCTGAGAAGCCCCGCAGTCAAGAAGTGGATGCAGCCATGTCTTACCCAGCATGTCCAGAATTTATCATACGTCATAAAACCTTTCCCCAGCTTTCAGCAAAAATGTCTGTTGATACTCTGCCAAAAACGCAAGAGCTGCCAGCACTGAGTCTCCAAAGCAGCCCAGCCCCAGAGCACAAAGGCTGCCTGCTGAGGGCACCCCCACAGGTCACCACCAGGAGACGCTGCCCTGCCCGCTCTCTGCGGGCACATGCCCTGCTGAGGGCACAGCCAGCGTCCCCGCACCAGCCCCTGGTAACCCTGCAGCTCAGCCCTGCTGGAGCAGGGCCACCTTAGAGGTAGCAGAAGCCCCCTGAGGAGGGATGGCAGGGCGCCGGTGAGTGGTGGGGGGAGGGATGGCGGGCCACCGGGG